TACATCTCAGTCTCCCACCTTCATGTTTCCCAGTTAAATCCTCTTTGTCTGACAGCCTGCAATAAAAATAAAGGTGTCAGCTCTAAACCTCATACGTCATGTGAAAGAAGCATTTCTTCCATCTGTACATGACTAATAATGTTTGTAATATATTTTCAGATAAAATTAGACTATAAGACATTTAAAAGGCCCATATGACATTATTTTTTGATCAGTGTTATATTGTTCCTCATCACAAACATACCTGGAGTTGTCTACTTGGATAAGCTGTGAAACGTATTCAACCAAAATAAACTTTTGTCCAGTTGACAAATTGGCTTTCTCTTTTGCCACAAACTTTGCGTGTTCTTCTGTCAAACAAGAAACACTGTGTCCCACCTTGTGATGTTGTAATAATACAGGAAGAGCTCCACTGTGTTTTTAAACTCCATACACTTTCACTAGAGTCATTTGGATACTTTCAGCCCTGGAATTGCTGCTCGCTACTTAACAAAATCTAAACTGTAGCTATTCACACGAAAACTACCACTTCATGGCATCACAAAGAGGAAAAGAGCATTTTGAACTTTGAAGATGTAGACAGACTAATAATAAAAGATTACTGAGAAATGTGTGAATGAAGGAAAACACAACTCTGGGTATGTTTCTCATGTGGTAACAACATTATGACAAGGCTTTAACTTTATAACTATCAGTTTTGTGTAATATAAGAGCTTTAAATGATGATTATGACTTGATAATACATTGCACAGTAGTTGAATTTGCTCACTGTTAGGCAGAGGCATGTCCTGGTTTGCTCTGTGTCTCTCACTGTGTCCCAGAGCAGAATATGTCTTTGAAACATGTCTCATAGTACACAACAGATGAGTAAACTGCTCCTACCACGTCACATGTGGACAATGACATTTGTGAAAAGCATTATATTTGTTACATCATCTTTCTTCCAATGTATAACTGCACATATGACGCTCACTTTAAGCTCCTGAACAGCTGATTTGTGCTGCTTTAGTTGTTTTATCAACAACAAGCATATGTCCGATTACATAAAGAGGACTCAGCACGAGGGATTAAAAGAATGACAGACTGGAGACTGTTCTAGCCACTGTCTGAGGTCATTCCTGACTCATATCCGGGTTTACTGGAGCTTTGAGTCTTTTGTTTTGTATCTGAGTGCATAGAGAAACCAAATGTTCTAAAAACTGAATCAAGGCATACGATGAAGTCAGATGATTTTCCACTTTCCCTGTGTATACTCATCTCATGTTACCTGTACCCATTTTTCCCACGTATTAGAGTATTAGAGTAGTAGTCTTCCTCCAGTACATTTATCTTGTTCTAGCAGCTCTTGAGGTCAAAGTAAGTTCACTATGTATTTTCTGCTTCTAATTATAAAGCATTTCATTGCCTTGATAATCAGAAAATGTGTGCTTAGCATGCTAGTTGTTGCTGGATTTATTGTGGTCTCTGAAAGTTTTACAAAGCTCTTAGAAACTCATCGTGGTGAATAGTTAGAATGCTCAGAATGCTTTAATAAGTGGGCATAAAATTTGGACTACTGCAAACCACTTAAAATGTACTAGTTCTTTTTTTCACATTTTTAGTCAAAATCGATTCTTCAAACCAAATAACATAAAAGCAGCACTGTCAAAATCAGACCGCTGCACACTATCTACATCTATTTATATATATGGAAAGCATATTGATTGCAAACCTACAAGAGTCTGACGTTTTCTATGCTTCGGTATGATTGTGTTAGGGTTGCTTTGCCATGTGAAATAGCAACCCCCAACTCTGTCACAAGTTTGAAAATGAAAATGAGATTACAAACCCCAGTGGGCCTTTCCTTGTTAAATAAATCATATTTTTATCTAAATTACTATGTCCAAGTCATTTTCCTTGTGGATCAAAAAAGTTAAAATCAGTGTAGATAATCATAGAATATACAAGCACTCAAGCAATCTGGGAAAAATATGTCATTGCGATAATTCTGACAAGCACTGCGATTGCGATTTGATTTGCAATTGTTTTAATTTTAAGATTCTGCTCAGAGTTCACAAACTTATCCAAGACAGTAGACAAAAGAAATATGAAATGACACACAAGTATCTCAGAACATTCTACAGATTTCCTATGGTCAAAATAAGAAGATACTTTACTGTTTGTGGAGGAAATTATGGTACTTCAAAAACTACAACTGAGTCCGTTCAAATTGTGATTTCAGTTTGATTAATCTTGCAGCCCTACAATGTAGTAAAGAAAGAAACTTAGATTTTGACAGTAGAAAAAAAAAGTATTTCCTCAAACTTTGAAAAGTGCCCCTCTTTTCCTTGTGAGTCGCAAAGGGCAGCATTTTCATAGGCTTTTGTGAGAAGAGCTTTGTCAACAAGACTATATTACTCTTAGCATTTGCTGTGGCATTTTATTTTGTCATCCTTATTGAATGATATCTCTCGGGATGGTGTGGAGATGCGTTGGATTTTAGATGAAAATGCATTGAGGTTGTGCGACTGGCCAGTACCATCCCATGTTTGCATTAAACTTTTATGAAGGTTACCAAGTTATTATGCAGTACCTCGAGGATCAGGGAACTTTTTATGGCTGATATAAAACTGGCTCATGGGCCCTTCTTATGCGAGCAAAAGATCCATAGATTTACACAGCACTACCTGAGGCGCTCTGATCATTTCCTCGCTCCTCTGTAAAACTCCCTTCTAACAGGTGTTGAAACATGCTCGAGGCCATGGTACATATCACAGCTAGGGACACAACAGCATTCAGATCCATTACGGTAAAATATTTATGATGATGTTATGGAGAGGCTCTTGGTATTGTAGAAATGGTGTAATTTCTCATCTAAAACGCTGTTACCTCATCAAAAACATACCCAGAGTTGTGTTTTGTTTCATTCACACATGCTTGAGTAATCCTGCATTATTAGTCTGTCTGCATCTCAAAAACTCAAAATTAGTGCCAGACCAATGTATCAGTTGGACGACATATCAGCTGTTGGCCTAAATCTAGCCGATATGGGCTGATAGTCCACATGAGCGTGTTATGCCTCTTATAAAGCTTAGACTCTTTATGTTATACACATTGAATCCAATTTACAGACAGATAAATGTCCTAATATGTGACGCCACATCAATATTTATCTGTGGAGTAATTTGTTTGTGTTTGTGAGACAGTACTGCCCCTGAATGCATCCCCAGACTCATGTCACTCATGTGCGCTTGTTTACAAGATCCATGTGCACAGCTGTAAAGTGATTATATTGGCTGTATACATGTTACTGATTATTGTTATTGATATGTATCAGCTGTGAATAGAGGTGTGAATGATCTGTATTTACGCATATAATTAATTACAGCAGCATGCATGCATTTACCGCTAAAGGCTGATAGTGGTTGTTTACTTACTTTCTTTATTGGCTAGTCATGCAAAAATGCCATTAGGCCGACCTGCTGTCTTTAAATATGACTGTAAAGAGGGAGAATAACAATAAATCTAACTTTAAAAAATCCCAATTTAAAATCCAGTAGAGCCAAACCTAAGTTTTATAATCAGTTGAAGATTTATAGTGAATTTATTATAGTGAATATATACTAAATGTATCGGCTTTTGTATCGACTATCAGCACCTCCAACTCCCATTTTATCAGTATCATATCGGCTGCAAATATCCCTATCAGTCGGGCCCTACTCAAAATGCTCTGTTCTATCTTGTGATGTCATGTAATGGTAATTTTTAACCTAGTTCAGTAGAGGCTGGCAATTCCAGGGATGAAATCATCCAAATAATTCTAGTGAAGGTGTGTGAATTTTAAAAACTAAATTCTAAAACGAATTACCATATGACATCACAAGGTGGAACAGAGTGTTTTCAGTTTGGGAGAAGAACTCAACCCAAATATGCAGGGTTTGTGTGTTAGACATGTGTGAATGGAACAAAACACAACTCCATGAGGAAACAACATTATAACGTAGATCAATAATATGAGCACTTTAAGCAATAACAGATTTTAAAAAATGTAATCCTTCTGAAATGAAGCAAAGGATCATGGTCTATGTAGTTCATTTCATTATCCCACATGAGTTTTTTGAGGTTTTGTACATGGCATATAATTCTGCGATGGAGCTGAATAGTTTTGTGATTGGTAATGTGATTTCATTTAGAAGCAATATTGAGTTCTCAGCGCACATTTGAAAATTGTCTAGTAGTATTAACATTTGAGAGAGAGTCGAAATATGAACAGCTAAACTAATATAAGAATAACATGAACTGAATTAATTACAGAACATGTTTGTGAAATTCTGAACTACAAGATTAGACATTTTTATTTTTTATTATTACCCAATATTGTCTTGTTTACACAGGACATTATATACCTGATCATTTGCAACTATTCAGTGTGATATTGATTATATGTGTGGGTGTATATAATGTATTTAGAATAGTATTTGAATAATGTGGCCCTAGGTAAGATCTGTTTACATTTGTGGTCAGTCTATATACATGTAATCTGTATTTTCAGTATTTCCACTAACCAGATCAGGGACTGCAGGCGTAAATGAGTTAGATGATGTAATCTCATCTTTGCTATGACTTTTATCTTGGTTAAAGGTGCAGTGTGCAACTTTTCTGGTCTGTCACAAGCTTGTCTTTATGGAGATGTTATTGCTTCACTTGAAATGTTCCATGGTATGACATTAAACACATCTGTCCTTCTATCATGTATTCATTATGGGTAGCTGTAATATAGGTTATAGTTGTCTCCCTTGAGATAGATAGGTTTAAACTGTGGAAAATTATAAACAAAGCAATAACATCTCTGTGAAGTCAAGCATGTGACAGACCCTTGCCTTTATTGTATTGCTGTGCGCTGTCCCTGTGCAAATAAAAAACATACCATACCCTTAAATTGCAATAACATTTGAAGGCATTTCATATTATACTTACATCTCGACTCATACGCCTTGTTATGTGGGTTCTTTGTCCATTAGGAACTGGAGTGCTTCTGAGACCAGTGTTCACAAAGCAGCCTGGCAGTGTGGTGTTCCCTCTGAAGCCTGGAGAGGACCAAAGAGAGGTGGTCTTCAGCTGTGAGGCCCAGGGTCACCCACCTCCCATTTACAGGTAAGTAACGCTGTACATTCTAATGCGTTGTGTGGACACTAAATTGACTTCACTCATTTCATGGAGACTGATTCTACGGTTAAGGACCGTCCTACCTTACATGAATTTAAAAGTGCATTATGTATCTTTTTGTGTGATGGTCTGTCACCTAGCCAGGCTGGTGCCACCTAGTGCCTCCACTCAATTTCATTTCTCTCCAACGACTAAGTCAGGACTCGGAATACACTAGACAGTTTGCAAAAGCCCTGAAAAGTTGTGAGTTCAGGCACTAGGTAATCAGCGAAGAGCCCCACATTCTGTGTTGGCAACTATTCCCAAGATCGAGGATTTAAAGCCGGAACAATGAGATTGTTCAGTGAATTTTATCAAGGGGAAAGACGTTATTGCCCTTCTTCCTACGGGATTTAGGAAAAGCTTAATCTACCAGTTAGCCCCTTTAGTGGCGCATTACATACGTCACAACCAAATAGCAGCGATTGGTTAAATGAAAAAAAAAAATACTGACTTACCGTTGAGAGAACTAATTCTAACGCTGTGAGGTGAATCAGGCTATTTGTCACCTGCTTGTTTCTATGGATGTATCATTGTTTTACCTGGAATGTCCCACAGTATGACATTAAACAGCTCTACCTTACATTTATTCAATTACACGTGGTTGTATAGCTCAAAAATATCAAGAAAAACAGGCATTCACTCTGAGCGGGGTCGCCTCTCCACAGATCTGCCCAGTAACTTGGTCTGATTTGATCTCCATGAAGATAGAAAGGTTTAACGTCACACTATGAAACATTATAGAGTATATACATATAGAGTACTGCATAACCACATGGTCACTCGCTGCTGGCACAACACTCAAACCCATCGAATCACTTTTTAAAAAAGCCTTACAAATATTGGACAAGAAACCATTCTCATTTCACCACTGCACTATTTTAGACAAGTATAATTTGCTTAATTTTAATAATTTTATTGGTTTTAAATATGAATGTTTTGTCTATAAAGTTTTGCATGGACTTGCCCCTCCTCCATTACAGGATTTTATTAAAGTAAAGACTGTGAGTGGGATGGGAACTAGGGCCACAGACCGGGGGAACTGTGACGTCCCACACAGACGCACAACATTCGGACAATATATATGCACTGTCCCTATTAAATAAATAAATAAATAAAATAAATAAATAAATTCCAGACTACGTCATGGAGAACAGCATTTGACGGACCCTCCACCAGAATAGTTACACAATACGCTTTTAATCTAAACTAATTTTAATCTACTTTCACACAAAACTTTAAATCATATTGTTGATCAAATAATAACAAAATGATATCATGCATTATGGATTTATACTACAAAAAAATTAATAAATAAAAATACAATAATGAAAGATCCGTCAGTAAAAACATGTGGGAGGAAACTATATATTTGTTTTTAATAAAAATCAAACATTATGATTATTTTTACTGCCGCATTGCCTGCCACCTAGCAAATAAATAAGACTTTGATTTTAGCCTTCTCAAATGATAATGAAGTCTAAATTGCCTCGGAAAGTGTAACAAATCCACAAAAACCACTGTGTCATTAAGAGCAATTTAAAGAGGCTCTATCAGTGTGACGCTGGCTGCCTGTGGTGCTTAGCGTCTCTGTCAGTCATGGTTCATTTGAGAAAGAGAAATGAATCGGCATTGGTTTGAATGGAGTACATTTGCATTGTATGGTGGGCATTGATTTTCTGTAGAGAATGCTTTGAGAGCTTCCTGCTGTCTGTACCACTGACCCGCGACCATATCAGGTGACCCACAATGCGGTGGGCCTGTTCAGATATCTCCGACATGGAGTAATGACAGAATACACGCAATATGGGAGAATATTTGATTACTTTAGCCCTCGGTATAATACGCCGATTTTTATTCAATGCAGGGATCATGTTTATTTAAAACTAACACCAAGTTTCTTAGTTGCTAACAATGACAAATGATACCAAATGACAAACAATGATTTTTTAAAGTGCATCCATCCCACAAAGTATTAATTCTTAATCAATCAAAGCTGGGGCCATTTCGGGCTGGCACTTCTGTCACTGTAATTAAATTCAGTTCGCAAAGCCGTTTATTTAATGTGTAATAGGTTGAGACGATCCCTCATAATATCAGCGTATGCAGTTGTTAATGTAGCTTGAAGATCTTCAGTGTTATGGCTAATGGGCACAAATTGAAATAAATGTACAAGATTTTATCACTTGGGTCGACTGGAATCTGTATCCATCCCACAGTGCATTTCCTGTCAGCACCGGCCTCAAGTTTAAAAGCGTTCATGAATTCATATCAGCTATATGTGACCTTTTAAGTTCTGAGAAAATGCTCCATTATTACCTCCATCAAGGAGACTATTTACACTGGAGTTGGATACGCACAGGTCTCACTTAAGTTGAAAGAAAAGGGGAGCTTATTTAAATGCATGTCTGGGTATTTTTCATTGTGAGGTAGGGTCAATGTGAAGGTGCCCTGCAAAACACAAAAGTAAAATACCAAATGCCGAATAGGATAAAATACAGAAAGTTATAAATATTAGAATTTTTCTTGAGCACTGAATGCAAATAAGAAACAGGCTCAAGGCAAATATATGCAACTGAAAAGTGACTTGTCCCACTGTTTTTGTTGATCACTTTCAAACTTTGCTCTGGCATTCTTGATCAAAGTATTTCCTGGGGGCTGTGGGAGGGGGCTTTAGATCATGTGGTGAAGAAGTTTCACAAAGAGCAGACAATCTGGCCCTCGTATCCATTTTAGCCCACCTTTGCCATTCCCAAAATATTTTAGATTAGTTTAGCCTTTATTGTCTCCTTATGGAGAAATTCTTATAGGACACGTAATGAGCACAAAAACACAACATTATGAGGTGTAGGATGGGCCCAGACATCAGCACACACAGGAGGGCCCTCAGTTTAAAAGGATGCTCTCTGTAACACCTCCTCAGCCAGCTGCTGTTAAATGCCCCTTCACAACCTGAAGCTTCATTGTTCTACTGAATGAAAAACCTCTCCACATCAAACTGAGGCCCCTCCACTGCAGCCAGGGGAAAACTCTGGTTGGAAACTTACTTGGTGGTTGGTACTTTCTTACAAAGTCCTGGCCTTTTGTGTGGATGAGTGCATTTTGGGACAAATCTACACACATTCATGGTGTCATGGTAAATCAGATCCCATGTTAGGTTTGTCAAGTAGTTGGTTAAGCTTAGGCCTTCTTTTCTTTACTTTTTTTGCACCTTAAAAATGAAAGTTTCTGAAGACATTTTTACAATCTGTCTCAGTCCATGAAAGAAAATTCATGATCTTAAAGAGGGGGTTTTACTTCTATGTGGTATTAATTACTAATGCATACCATCTTTAGATCACCATGTAATCTTTTATTGTTTTTAAATTGCTACATTCACCAGAAATGTTTTATAACTTTCACTAATTTTGACACTCTGAGTCTCCTCTCTGTTGGCTTTCTGCACTAAATCACTCCCCCTTCGGAGCAGTGTCACAGAACAATCTTAGTGCATCCTGACAATGAAACTACTGCACATGGCGTCAGGTTTGTGAAGCTATTTTGTACACTTTTACTCTTTTACACTTTTATCATGCTTTTGTACATAATATATGGAGAATTGTTGTGTGGGAGCATGGCTGATGTAGGCTTGTGGGTTGAGTATTGGACAGAATCGTATAGCCATAAGGAGGGTTCAAATAGGGCTCAGGAGAAATTTCTGAATTACTGAAACTTCCCTGGATGACAGCTAAAATCTCTTCAGGCATGTTTTTTGATGAGCACACAAGTTAGAACTTGGTAGAAAACTAAAAAAAAGAAAAAGAAAGTAAGTTGAGCTGAGTTTGAGACTCAAAAATCATTCCCATATTTGATCGTGTTATATTTTATATTGCTTTAGTGTGTGCTGTACTTAATGTTAGCATGCACTGTGAGTCTGAATCCTTGGTCACTGAGAATGCCTGTGATGTGCAGTGGCAGGGCAGTCAGGCTAAGAAGCTCTTGACTGTGGAGAATATGCGGTGTTCCAGGGACACAGAGGACAAATGAATAAGACTGTCCAAGCAGCGCATAAGCACAAAAATCACCACTTCACATTGTCACCGCTCAAATGGCCTCCTCTACACTGCTGCTGGGCCTGCTCCAGCTCCAGCCCCAAATCACTAAATCAATCTAATCAAGCAATCTGCTGTGGAGCACTGCTTGGCTGCATGTGACACCCCCTTTCCCAAAATGGCTCCAATGAAAAAAAGAAGGAAGATGTATTGAGCCCAGATCGGGCTCTTAGAATAAATTCTTTACAGTGAATAAGAGGAGCCAATTCCCATTACTTGAGAACCGAATCTTCAGCTTCTCAAATCAGATAAAACTTAGCAGATAGGAGTGGATGACACTGGCAATAGGACTATCTCGATTTTTCTGGAATACATTATCCCAATAACAATAGTCAAATATTATATTAAAGGTGCTTATACAAAAAGGATTCTTGTGAGCTTTAATCCATGTTAGAATGTTGTTACCAGAGGTGCGACCAAGTCTCTCTTTTGCAAGTCTCAAGTAAGTCTCAAGTCTTTAACCTGAAGTCCGAGTCAAGTCCCAAGTCAAATACGGGGAAGTCCAAATCGGGTCTCGAGTCATTGGCCCATAAATCCAAATCAAGTCCAAGTCATGTGCTTTGAGCTCCAAGTCATTTCAAGTCTTTAAATCAAAATACCAAATTTAGCTTAGATTTTTGCTACTAATATGAATTTTAAGATAAATTTTACTTAAAAAATCATAGTATATTTATATATGAGTATTTATTTATATGAGTATATAAGAGTTGTAGAAATTGATTTAGTGTTTTTTTTTTCCCCATTTTAAATGTCTTTAAAAACTCTTAGTGTGAATCATTATGGTCAGAATAGAAAGAATTCAGATTTAAAAGTACTTCTCATGTCTTCTCAAGTCACAGGCTGAGTCAAGTCCCAAATCTTAGTCCATATTATCAAGTCAAGTCTCAAGTCTTAATAATAATAATAATAATAGTGACTCAAGTCTGACTCGAGTCCAAGTCATGACTTGCAAGTCCCCACCTCTAGCTGTTACTTCATCAAAAACAAACCTGGAGTTGTATTTTGTTTCATTCACACATTAGTAATCCTTTATCATTTGTCAGTTTGCAGTTCCAGGCAATTCCAGAAATGAAATCATCCAAATGATTCAAGTGAAAGTGTGTGAAATTTAAAATCACCGTGGAACATTTCCTGTATTACCACATGACATCTTAAGGTGGAACAGAGTGTTTTCTATTTGAGAGAAGACCCTAACCTAAACCTAAATATGCAGGGTTTGTGTGTTAGATATGTTTGTGATGAGGAAACAACATTATCATAGATCAGAAAATAGAGTAATATAGGCCCTTTAACAATGCATCAAGAAAAAAATGGTAAAATGTGCATAAAACTGTCTTGGTTGAAGTTCAAGGTTAGCGCAAAACGTGAATGGACCATAAAATTAATCACAGAAGGGCAGAAATATCACTTACCCTTGTTTGGGAGATTACACCAGATGTTCCGTACTCTTTATGAGGTAAATGTTTAGAGTTTTAATTCAAGACGATATGCACAATATTACACATTTTCATATCTCCAAATAACAATTGTGATATTATTAAACTATAGAAATATGGTCTGAGGGCCACTGATCACGCATGACAGACTGTAATCTATGAATCATTATAAATATGCTCGCTTTGTATTGAATAGGCAGATAAACAAATGACAAAAATATGACAAAACAGATACAAAAATATTTCACATTTCATATATTTTGGTGAATGGTCTGAATGCTAATAAATATACAGCAGTGTGGGAGCCATAGGAGGGAGCCAATCCAAAAGAACTGAATAATTGAAAAGATAGGACTCATACACGGGGAATCCAACATGCATTTCATCTTTTTATTCTTGTCATTTGAAAGTGTGTTACCAGATTCACCACATTCCCACAATCTCAATGAAACATCAGTTTTCATCTTTCAAGGACTCATAAGAATATTGTATCCTCATAAAATCCACAATAATTACAGTCGTTTTCTATGCCTCAGTTCTGTCCTTTGAGTCTGTTATTTCTTACAAAAGTGAAAAACCAGACTGCACACAAAAGGACAATTGTAGCATGTTACTGACTGTACTGTGTGAGGAAAACCCATTGATTGAAAACATGTGGTGGCCATGAGTTACACAGGCTACTTTTACATGAAATAACAGGTAAGACTTATAGAAGACATGTGGAAATTCAAGATCAACACACTCACCAATGGACAAGCAGCAAAGGTCGACTGATATGGGTTTTTTCATGGCCGGTCCTGATACTGACGGTTTAGAATCCAGAGCAACTGATGGCCAATAGTTTTTGTGCAGATATGGAGGGCTGATTTAGATTTTCTACCCAAATAATGTAATGTAAATATACTGAAAACTCACCCACGGTGCTTTTTTCACCACAAACCCTTAAGAGCACTGTAGTTTTCACTAGTTATCTAGTTGCTCTTAAGTGTTCAGATAAAGCTTTATGGGTATTTTTAGGTTGCAGGTCACCCAAAACAAAATATATTAATATAAATAAAACAGCCCATACACTAAAAAGTCCAAAATATTTAATAGTCAAAATTTCTTTATTGATTATTATGTATTCAAAATTTTATATTTAAGTAAAATATGATGTGATACAATGTGGTATAACAAAAAAAAAAAAAAAAAAAAAAAAAAAGAAGAAAAACAATCTTTAACATATAGAATATTTAAAGCTGGACTGCTTAACTTTTCTGCTTGGGGTTCCACTACCATGGAGATGCTATTGCTTTGCCTGTAATGTTCCACAATATAGTATTAAACTTATATGTTCAATAATGGGTGTTTTTATTGCTCAAAAATACCTTTAAAAATATGTATTCTTACTGTGACTGGGGTCACCTCTTTAAAGGTCTCACCTGTAAATTGGCCTGGTGGTCTCTCCTGCTTGTTTCTATGGAGACTGAAAAGTTTATTGCCATTCCTCAGAATAGACTTAAACTTAGACTTTATTGATCCACAAAGGAAATGACCTGGACACAGTAGCTCACTCATCACATTATATTACATTAAAAAAAGTAAAACAAAAAATGGTAATAAACTTCTAAATAAGTAGCAATAAAATAGCAAGAGATTGGTATCAATAAGACATAAATTATATAAATGTATGCACAGTGAGTAAAAAAACAAATATGTATAAATACAGTATATCCCAGTTACAGTATATACAAGAGGTCATAAGTAGCAGTAGGGGTGTGCAAAAATATCGCAATATGGATATATTGTACTGTTTAATGTATTATCAAGGCTGCAGTATTGATATATTGGCAAGAGTATTTTTTGATATATTAGTGCTACAGTTTTGTTACTTATTTAAAGGAAGGAAACTCATTTATGTGACACATTTCATGTATTCACTGTTTTGATAATTAAAATGTGTGTGCTTGAACTTTGCACAAGAAATGGTTTAACAAAGGCTTTTAGTATCACAGCTATGATTTAGCCTTGCATTGTATCGAATCGATTTGAAATATATTGTATCGAACCGAAAGGGCACTGTATCGAGATATGTATCGTATCGTGGCCTATGTATCAAGGTATGTATCGTATTGGTAACTTCTTAATGATTCCCAGCTCTAAATAGCAGTAACAGTAGTAGTGGGAATATTGGAGGTAAAGCAATAACAGTAACTGGTGAGGCCTTTATCAGAAAAGTTACACAATTACTCTACTGTGATACAACAAATATTTAAAAAATTAATAAAATCAACAGAAATAGATCAAAATTAATCAAATAGCAATTTATGGAATTTAGGAATGCTTTTATTTAGTCGTTCTAGGAAATACAGGAACAGAGGGAGCTGAAATAGACCATGGCATATAATGGTAATAGTATCATGTGAAGCGACACCTGCACCATATCATGTGTTTAAAGAATCTATACGCTTTCTAGCACAAGCCAACAGCAGGTACACAAAGCATGCATTGTGTTCTAAGGCTATGTCTATTGTTGTCATGGCGATAGAGTTTATCCAGTGTGTTTTCATTGTTCAAGGGAGGTGCATTATTTTGAGTTCTTTTTGTTCTGCCTTTACTTACTGTTTGGTGCTATTATCTTTCTCTTCATGCACTTAAATTATCCTCAAAACATCCACACTTTAAATTACATAGATTTTGACAACACTTTGTATTTTGAAGTGAGTCAGAAGAGACCATCATGCCACCAGTCTAAGACAGAACATCAAGCAGAAATCATAGACTTTTCTTTGAACCAAAAGGCAATTCTTCTAAATATTTTTTTCTGTTGTTTATTGAACTATATCACCATTTATCACAACAAAGAAACACAAAAGCTCTCACAATATACTATTGTTACTTTTGCACATGCCAATTTTGTAGTTTTGCCAGGCTCCTAAAAATGAGAGGAAAATATTTGTCTGAAAAAACAATTCTTTTTGACAAATTCACTAAGCAGAATAATTATAAAAAAGATTCTCAAAAATTAATCAGTGACCCCAAATAATGTTGTCAGGTTTTTCATTTATTTTTGCTACGAAGCTAGTAATTTGGTTTTACGGCTATTTGTTTAAAACATAGTAATTTAACATAACATATTTAAATAGAAAAGATGACATAATGTATTTTTTAAGGTCAACTTTTTTGTGTTTTAAAAGCAGTTATTTTGTAGGAAAAGAAAACACACAAAACTGATAGCTATTAGGTATGTGTCTTCTGCATCTTCCGTTTATGTTATTATAATTCAGTTTAAAGGTGCACTGTGCAACATTTCAACATTTCTAATGAAGGCTCCATGCTTGTCTCCATGGAAATGTTGTTGCCTGGTCTAGAACAGACATGTCAAACTCGGGCTCAGGGGCAAAATTATAATTATATTTGGCCTGCGAGATCATATCGAATATGTATTAGAGTTGGACCGCTGGCTGCAGATAGGATATAGAGACATTATTTATTTAAAATTTAGTTATTATTTTATATTATGCTTCTTCTGATTCAATGTTTAAGGCTTAACATTACATATCTCGAAAGAAGAGAAAACATGCAGATGCTGTTGAAAAATTTTCAATAAACCTTTGCTTTGGCCCATAACTTAGTCCCAGTTTTTAATTTTGGCCCTCTCTGAATTTGAGTTTGACACCCGTGGTCTAGAATGTGCCACAGTATAGATTAAACATACCTATCACAAGAGAGACAAGCAGGTTACAGCAATTCAGATCTTTGGAGAGTCGCCCCTATTCACTGAAGGAATTATTGTGTTTTTGAACACTCATAATAATTAAATGCAAGTTGGATATGTTTAATGTCCATGGAAACAAGCACCAGAGATGCACAGTGCACCTTTAAACTGAATTAGCATTTAGTATAAGACATGTTTAGCATTTCCCAGACCTAACTAAACCTAATAGATATAAATAATGCTTTCACTGTTATTTAAGACCTGTACTCACTTGGTTGAGGCGTCTTAACCTTTTCTATGCAAATTTGCTGAAGATGTGTTCTGTGTTGTTGGCTTTGACAGGTGGAAACTCAATGACTCCTTCATCCTGCCCCGGCCCGGCTCCAGGTACACTCTGATGGGAGGGAACTTACACATCACTCACCTGAATAAAGATGAGGACGTGGGCATCTACCAGTGTCTGGCATCCAACTCCTTTGGCACCATCGTGAGCAGAGAGGCGAGCCTGCACATCGCATGTAAGTGTTTGCGTACACTGGTCTATGAATGTGTGTGTGAGTGGGTGAGTGGTTCCTTCTTGTAAAGTGCTTTGAGTGCCTTGAAGGTGGAAAAGCACTGTATAAAAATGTGACCATTTACCATTTAAGTTCAGTTTGGACCTGTCTGTATGTTAAAGGTGCACTATGTAACTTTATTTCATTGCTTTGAGTGGAATATTCCCCAGTATGACATTAAACAGCTCTACCTTACATTTATTCAATTACAGGTGGTTTTATAGCTCAAAAATACCTAGAAAAACAGGCATTGTGACTGTGAGCGGGGTCACCTCACCACAGATCTGACTTGTAACTCAGTCTGGTTTGATCTCCATGAAGATAGAAACGTTTAATTCTATACTGTGAAACATTCCAGACAAAGCAATCATATCTCCATGGAGAAAAGCATCTGATAGAGCCTCTATCAGAAAAGTTACACAATGCACCTTTAAAAAGACAAAATCATCATTTTTAGAATAGTAAGTAGGTGTCCCTCTTTCTGTTGTCCTGCACAGATATTTAGGTCCCTGTCCCTCATCCCACTTATTTAAAGAATGTGCCACTTTTTCACTGAAGACACATGAATTAACAAAAACAGTGAGATTTACAGAAAGTGTGATTTTTTTTTCTTGCAAAAAAAAAAAAAAAGGGGGTAAAAAAATAAAAAAGGTTTGGGTGCACTGGTATTCGGGGTTGTAATATATTAGAACCTACTGCTGTTCTTGTTGTCTTTCTGTGTTATGATTGACAGCAACTGAAAATCATATGTTCCATCACATTCAACCACATGTCCCTCTTTATTCAATGTCCAGTGGTCAACTCCCTCTGCTTTCTAAGCATTATTTTAAACAGTAATTCTAAGGATTACTTGAAAAGGTATTGAGAAAAATGTATGGCATTATTGTAGTAACACCTATCTGATGTGATGATACTTATGCCACTAGTAGAAGTAGTTGTGTAGGGGTAGAAAGTTTGAAAATAAAACTAAAGTATTGCATACCTTGTTTGTTTGTATTTGTGCCTGTTATGCAATAAAATGTAAAAAAAAAAAAACATCAAATGTGTTATTACAAATATCATTAGCATTGAAGTGCTGTGTCAGTGTGGCTGGCAGGCGTTACAGAATGTCACTATTCAGACCACAGTCTGGATCCAAGACTTTTTATTACAGAAAGTTTTAAACAAAATCTGTGCAGTTTCTCACTTGTCCTTGATTTGTTTGATGAAATATGATACAATACCTGAAGCGACTCATTGAAGGTTGCACTATCAGCAATGTTATCAAAAAATACTTGAAACATGCACAATAGGTAAAATCCTCCAGCTAATGTAGTCCTGACCAAGCCTAGCTGACAGGAAAAATGTCAACAGGGACAATAAAATATACCTTAACCATAACTTGCATATCAAAAGTTTCAGCAGCAGATAAATTAACAATAGCTCCAACTTATATTCACATTTTGTCTATGCCAACCTGTATATTTCCTGCAGTAACACTGGAGCTCGAGCTCTGGTTCTGCCCATCCGTGTTAAACTCTGACTTTTGGGTAATGAAGACTGTGATTGTGTGCTGGGCCTTGACAAGAGCCTAGTTGGTGCTTTACGGCCTTCATCCATCACATTTTATAAGAGCCAGTCGGAGGCGTCTCTGATGGCAAGGTGAACTTGAGGCCTCTGCTGGTGATGGGCAGTCCATATCAAATGACAGAGCTGGTATCGGGGAACAGATGGCTTAGCTAGATTGAAATCTCTGTTTCTTTGCCATAGCCAGACACACCGATGAGCCTTGGCACCACCGCGGCAAAAATATATTCATCCAGGCACTTCTTTGTCACAACACAACATTAAATCTCTTGGCATATAGTGGGAAAAGGTGTCCTAAGTCCCCACAGGGCTGTCGATCATGTCATATTTCCTATCCATTTCTGAAGGTTGACCTGAGCTGTATGTTGTAGTGATTGGTGCCATCCATCGCCGAGTCTCTCCGCATGAAGACGAGCATCAGCGTCAATATGTCAGCCATCGTATTTATTGCTCTTGGTTTAACTTAATTAAGTGAGTGCTGCAGTGATGGAGGGGGGACCGGGTCAAGGGAATCTTTCACAGAGGAGGTTATTGGATTCACTTTGGTGTCATTTGTAAAAGACTTGGTGCTCTGGGTGGCTTGAAGGCTTTTAGAAATGTCAAGTTATTTTTTCTTATTTCGGTGTGATCTGGTGTTTTATAATTTAATGCCATAATACCATGAAATGAAGTTCAAGATTGTATTATTAAATGATACAACAGGATACAATATGTTCCTCAAATCTAGGTTTCTATGGATATGTCATTGCTCTGCCTGGAATGTTCCACAGTGTGACATTAAATAGCTTTTACATTTACTCAATAACAGGAGGTTTTATAGCTCAAAATACTGAGCATTCTGACTGTGAGTGAGGTTTGGTCTCCTTGAAGATAGAAAGATTTAATACCATAAAGTGAAACCTTTCAGTTAAAGCCGTAACATCTCCATGGAGTATTTGACAGGCCATCTACCAGAAAAGTTACACAATGAACCTTTTAATTAAGCATCTCTGTTTTCTACACCAAAGTTAATGTTTGCAAAAGTACAACGAGAACTGAATAGCCTATGTATCAGAATCTCAATAGACGTCGCGGGTTAGAGTTAAAGACTTTTATGTTGGTTTATGTTTTAATAGTATTTATGTTAAAATTGAAATAAAATTCCTTGTTATTTGGAATGTTTTGTCAAATTGATGTACCAAGAAATGTGATCTGTTAGACGGACAGCATAATTACTAGTAGGCTATTGTCATTCTGGCTTAGCTTGGACATTTTAGTTGACCTACTTTTGGTTAAATTATAATACAATTTTGGTTATGTAGTGTACCACCAATTTGGATTAGTCTAATACTGCATTTCAGATGGCTGAATATATGGCTGAAAATAGTGTTGATAATTTCTTCCTTTTTGTCAAATTTACTATAATGTAACCTCAAAAGAACAAAAGACAGTGTATAGTGAGTCCATAATTATTCCATACGTCTGGAGCTTGTGCTTAAACCTCGGCGTAGATCATTACAAAATGGCTTTTCCAATGGCAGCAGACTGTGCATTTGCAGACTGCTTTTTGATGTATGCACTGTTGGCATATGAATACTAATGCTGCGCTGTTACTTAAGAGAAACAATGTCTGGCATTTATAAAGACTGAAATAGCTACATTTTGAATCTCTTAAAAGATGGATGATATAAGAGTTTCAGTTACCATCTGGTCATGGCTTAAACCTCTCAAAGCACGAGCCTCTTGATCCTGTTGACAATAAATGTTTCAAAGGTTGCGCAGCCTGCTGGGGAGAGAGCTGGAAGGAATCCTCTAGTTGGTTATCTCAGCCCGATTGACTTTTTTAATCTCCTGGGGTTGTTTTTGTTGTAAAGTGAAAGGATTTGCACTGATGCAGGGTGCAACATTATACCACAACAGTTGCCAGCTGGGCTATAGAAGGGCATTAGCCGTCTGTGCAGTAGTGCCTCTCCTGAGCTCCTAAGGCCTCCAAACACACATCTAAGAAGAGATTTGGGGCCCGCTTTTCCAGTCTGGCACACAAATGTCATGTATATTTAATATTTTACTATTATTTGCTTTACTGAGATTCATTCATTCAGTCAAATAAGCCAATGAAAAAATAAATAAATAAATAAAAAAGGTGTGGAACAACCTAATTGGTCACTACTATAGTACTACTATAGTGTCAGAATATTTAAAATGTCTATTGGTTTAACATCAGGCATCATGTATGCAATGATATTACATAGAGACTTGCAGGAATGTCACTTGATTCATGGGTTTCAGCTTTTCTTTTCAAAGGGACAGTCTGGAATTTTGGACATCGGACCTCATTTCCTAGTTAGCCAGAGTGTTGGAGAAGAAACACTTTTTTAAATATTTCATCCAGTTCTTGTATTTGCAGAGGTCGCTGGTACTAGGCTAGTGCATGTCTATGGCCACAGTTAGCCTGACACTAAAAACAGTCTTACCCACTCCACAAAACACCTGAAGCAAATCTGTTATTACACCAGACTGTCGATGTGAATGTCTGTGTTGACAGAATAATGTTTGAAATAAAACTAACCTTGCATCACATGAATCGTTGCATGTTGAGGGACTATTTTCTCAGCAGCAGTGGAGTTTTACATTTCCGATAAGGTAGGTCCTAGGTGATATCAGTCCGCCGCTGCCAAATTTTCTATCAGGAAGTACAACTCACTGCTGCTGCTTGGACATAAATCCTTCAAATACATGGTTGGTTTTACATCTAAAATTATTCTGTCAACACAGACATTTACACTGACAGTCTGATGTAATAACAGATTTGTTTCGGGTGCTTTGTGGAGTGGGTAAGACTGTTTTTAATGGCAGGCTAACTATGGCCATTGACATGCACTAGCCTAGCACCAATGACCTCTGCAAATACAAGGACTGGATGGAATATTTAAAAAAGTGTCTCCACACGTCTCCAACACTCTGGCAAACTAGGAAATGAGGTCCTATGTCCAAAATTCTGGACTGTCTCTTTAGTAACTTGAGGACGTTTCACCATCCAAAAAGTAGAATATTGTGTCAGTTGCTACGGCAATGGTCCTAATATTTCATTCTTCTGATAGATTCACTGTGTCACACATTTTAGCAAGCACCTTATCAACATTGGCCTTAGTCTCATACTGTTAAAACCAAACTTACAATGCCTTGCACAAATCAAATAGTTTATATAGAAACCAAAAATTGAACAAATTAAATTGAAATGGGCATTTGACTTAGTTTGGTGTTCTGTAACGCCTGGGTGGCTTTTTGCCGTTTCTTCTTTTACAAAGCTTTGGCCCTGGTGCTGAAGAATACGCACCCTCGCACAATCTACATTCAGCTGCTTTTAGAACCAGCCAAGCAACAGTGTGTGTAATGAAGGGTGAAATAACTGTATTTAT